ACGTGAACGACTGCCTCCAGGGGCCCACCCTCCACGCCACGCCACTCACCACGTGCCACAGATACCCAGAAGGGCAGCTGGAGATCTGTTTCCTGAGAAGTGCTGAGGACGGAATTGGATTTTCTGGTGTGAAACACGACCCACGGGTCACGGGCGCCCTCTGGACTCAGAGGCACGGCACCCTTTCTGCGTCACTTAGATTTATTGACAAAAAAACATTTTTAAATGTTTATTCTTGAAAGAACGAGAGAGCAGGGAAGGGGCAGCGAGAGAGGAATAGAATCAAGTATATTTGTGTTCCTAGCCACAAGCATTGTTATCCTATTTAATGGGCCCGAACTGACAACCACACCATGACCTGAGCCGAAGTTGGACACTCACTTAACTGAGCCACCTACTCGCCCCCTTAAATTCATTTTCTGAATGTGTCCAACACTCCCATGGTTCAGTGTTCAAAATCTCCATCCTGACCCTGGGCCTCGGCCCACCTAGATCCCCTCCCACGAGGCAACCAGAACGGTCAACTTCTTCCGTACCCTTCCTGAGTCAGCTGACGCGCTTTCCGAAGTTCGAGCGTGTGTTAAGCGTGTGTTTCTTCCTGCTCACACAAAGGGCGGCGGAGTAAACACACTTCGCGCACCCGGCCTTCGTCTCCTACGTTTCTTGGCGACCCCTTCATTTCCCGCGCGTGCCCAGGGGTGGCGACGCCAAGCTCATTTCACCAGAGCCCCTCGGGGAATCCAGGGTCTCCCTGGTTTTCTGCTACCGTAAACGATGTCGCACGAATGGCACTGCGGACGCGTGTTGCACATTTGCCGTCCTCTTCTAGGAACTTTCTTTTATTCGTCTCAATAGGGATTCCAAAGTTCAAAGGGCACAGAAGGGCTTCAGTGAAAAATCTGTCCTCCAGCCCACCTGCAAGAACAGCGATCCCCTGGCCCGTGGGTCCGTCCAGAGGCGTCCCAGGCCCGCGCAACCTGGCGGTCCACGGACGAGAGCCCTTCTTCAGCCACATCTGCCACCTGCAATGCCTTCTTCGGGAGAAGCCGTGCTGCCACGTTGTCGATTAAAATTGGAGGAAAAACCTTCAGTGTAATTGTTCATGTCAGCAACACCTTTTTTTTTAAAGGGTCTCATCAGGCTTCGTCCAGCTTATTTTTCAGTAACAGGGATTTTAAATTAAAAAAAAAAATTTTAATGTTTATTTATTTTAGAGAGAGAGAAAGAGAGAGAGAGAGAGAGAGAGAGAATGAGCAGGGCAGAGAGAGAGGGAGACACAGAATCCAGAGCAAGCTGCAGGCTCCAGGCTCCGAGCTGTCAGCACAGAGCCCGATGCGGGGCTTGAACTCATGAACCACGAGATCGTAACCTGAGCTGAAGTCGGATGCTTAACCGACTGAGCCACCCAGGCGCCCCTAAGTAACAGGGATTTTTAAAAACGTTCCTGCTCCCTGCACGTCTGTGCCTCTTCCTAGCTGCTTTTCCCTGTTTGCTCTGATCCCCGTATTCGGTGCCAGCAGCTGCTGCCAGGTGTCCCCGATCCCGGCTGTCTGCCCCTGATGAAGAGGGGGGCTCCGTGCCATCCGGGATGAGCAGCACTGAGCTGGAACAACCCGTCCTCTCTGCGGGGACGTGACAGGCTGTACCTTGAGAGATGCGGCAGGGAGGCCACTATCTTTAGGTCTTTTCTCTGGAGCTGGACAGGTTCCAGAACAGCGTCTTCCAATGATGTCAGCTGGGAAAGCGAGGTTCTGGCTGCCCGAAGCATGCTGGGAGTGGAGGGAAGAGGGGCGTGCAGACAGCCGCTCGCCCCCAGGCCAGCAGTGCGGAGGAGGGACCCCTGGAACCGGCCGCTCGCAAACCCGGCCGGGTCTGACACTTAGAACTCTGTGGGACGCAGGGACCGCCTCTCCGGGGCTCTGCCCTTGCTTCTGCGGAACCGCCTGCCCATTTGCTTGCCAGCTCCCCGAACTGCACCATGCCACACTCCCCTTCCCTGCTTTTAATGCCGTTCGTGTAGTTGTCCTCGGGTTTGGGAAGCAGCAAAATTGTACATGTGGATTCAATTCACATCTCAACCCAGACAGACCCTAATTATTCTGTGCTTTGATGAAAGTGAAGTTTACATGCGACCAAAAAAAACTTAGAGATTTTAAATAGCCTTAATTAAAAAACAAAACAAAACCATACGTATATAAATACGACACTTGTCCCTCTGCAGATTCCTTCATTTCTGGCAATTTCGAAAAGCGGCTAAAATCTTGAAAGTCACAGCAGCGTGGCTGCTGCACTGCGGACGGCCCGTTAAAAGGGATGTAATTCAAGGCAGAGACCCCCACGTACAGACCAACTGGCTCTACTTCTGCTGGCCAAGACTTCTTTAAAAACTGCACTCCTGTCTTTTGTCACTTCTCCTGTGACATTACTGCTTCAGTTTTCTTACCTGTAAGTAAGGTTAGTCACACCCCTCCACCTCTATTAGGTTGTTGGATTAAATGAGCCACAAATTAGTAATCACTTTGGGTCTCAGGGCTCTACGCCAGTCACTGCCCTCCATCCAAAGGTCTGCGCCCTTGAAATGCTCTTTGCCAGCTGGCCCCGCGCTGCACTGGGTCTGTAGGGGGCACCAGAGAGACACCACAGGAAGCTGGCCTTGTGTCTCTGGGCTGTGGTGCCCTGGGTCCCCAGGGTTCTCCACTGGGAGCGGTGCACTCAGGCAGTAGAAGCCCGGGTGTGGGGCTGACATCTGCTGTACTGGTGTGACGTGTGGGCGTTTGTATGCGTGCAGGGCGTGTGTCCACAGACACATTTAATTCCTAGTTCTGTGTGGTTCGTAAGAAACGACCCCTCGTGGGGCGCCTGGGAGGCTCTCCGTCGGTTGAGCATCTGACTCCGGCTCAGGTCACAGTCTGTGACTTCAAGCCCCACGTCAGGCTCGGTGCTGACGGCTCAGAACCTGGAGGCTGCTTCGGATTCCGTCTTCCCCTCTCTCTGCTCCTCTCCCCCTCGCTCTCTCTTGCTCAAAAACAAGTAAACATTAAAAAAAAATTTTTTTTTTTAAATAAAAAAGAAATGATGCCTCAGTAGCTATGCACACACCTACCTCCAGATCTTGGTTTCCAACCACCGTGCTCCGTGAAAGCAGGGGCTCCCCAGGGGTGACTCCAGGACCCAGCATCTCACCGTATGAGAAAGCAGCATGACGGGTGCATGTGCAAGGCCAGGGGGACCAAGTGGAAGCAGCTCCCAGCAGCCATTTCGGGGACAAGGTGGGCAACATCAGGGATATACATAAATGAACGTGAAGTGACCAAGTGACCGGAGGAGGAGGAGGAGGAACAAGGAACGTTGAGGACAAACCAGTAACGTGGCAGAGCGGTGGGGGACAGACCGCCCGGAGACGCTGCAGCCGGGAAGCCTGGTACGGAACAGGTGTACGCAGTCCTGCGGCGTCTCCCGGCAGAGTGCGGGACCTTCTCGTGGGGACACGAGGCCAGCACACGCCACGCGAACCATGGGAAACCACGGGAAACCTACCAGGAGGCAGACAAGTCCACGAGGGCCTTGTCCCACGTCCCAGTGAGCGAGCGGAGCTCCTCTGCAATATTCTTGCTGAACACAGGACACAGACCAAAACCGAAGCGGTCCACAAGGTAACTGACCTGTGACCCCCAAAAATGTCACGATCACGGAGGACAGACAGCCGCTCCGCATCGGAAGGGACTCGAAAGGCGGGACAGCTGGACCGGGCCGACAGGTGGGATGGGGGCCCAGGACTGAGGGTCATCTGACGTCAACGTCAACGCTAACATTTATGCTGCAACCACCTACCAGGTGCCGCAGGAGGACACGGGGTCATTTGCCACAGAGAAAAAAGGTCCTCATCTTGGAGTTGTGATTCAAAGAGGTGGGTGGGGGAGGGGAATCAGCAAGGGGCTCTGATATACTAAGATGGTAACAACTGGGCCAGCGAGGGGGCAGGGACCTGACGGTTCTCCACACCGCACTCTCCTTTCTCACAACCATCACACTTCTGGAAAACCCTCGCCACCAGCCCCAGGACCTTGCCTGGCACGTGGCAGGAACTCAGGAAGCAATTGAGGGAAAGGGCCCCCTGCAGCGCCTGCCTGAAGTGTATCACCTGCAGGCTGGGAACCACGGTGCCCCAGGGGCCCAGGTGAGCCCCCAGCCAAGCCCACACCTCCTGTGACCCGACCGACTGGACCCTCTGGCACAAGGAGGGCGAAGCCCACAGGAACGCTCTGTGACACCTTCACGCTAAAAGTCCTTTGACCAGCTAAGAATGCGTGAATTCTACCATTTCCATTTGCCCAAAAGGAAGTTTAGTCCTTCCGCCTCCTGAAGACTGAAACGGGTCATTCGCACATACACATCGTCATCAACAATTTATTTAAACATTCCAAGGATCCCAACCCCATTTAAAGACTAAAACCGCAACGTCCCCCATTCAATAAAAGCACACAAAGCTCTCAGAGTTAGTACCACAGCCCACGAGACAGCTCTTCCCTCTGAGAAAAGTTTATTTGACTTTTATTACGAAGGCACACAAGTCATCTGAGGCTTCAGATATTAGCCCACCGCATGTGAACGTCACACTGTTAACGTGCAACTTCACAGCTATTAAGGTTTACAAAACGGTCTTCCGACGATTCAGGACTTAGATTCTTTCTATAAATAATAATTAAAACAATAATTAAGCCCAATAGAGGCGTAACAAAAGGGACCTGAAAATTCCTTCAAGGGCAGTTTTGTTTCTCGTTAGAAGTTTAAGACCTTAACGGTGAAAGTCTACGACTGCCTGAAACACGCACCATGGACCAGCTTTGCCAAAGAAACCGTAAACGGGCTAAAAAAGTATCGTGAAAGCAGCACTGAGGTCATTTACAGACTGTTCTATCATTTCCACCAGTTTTCAAAAATATGCACTTTGTGGGTCAGAAGCTCCGGGTTTGGCTCTGGGCACCAAGGTGGAGGCCTCCTCACCGGGGCAGGGTGCCCTCGGCCGGGTCGGGGCCCGGGGCCGCATCCACGCTGGCACTGGCGGCCGGCTCCACGCCGTGTTCGGCCCCCGCCTCCTCGGCCTCCGGCGGCCCCGAGCCGCCCGCGCTCTCAGGCGCCAGGACGGTCCCTTCCTTCTTCTTCTCCGCCAGCACCTCCAGCCCCATCATCCTGAGATAATGAAGCCGTTCGTTCTTGGGCACGAAAGTCCGAATGGAGGCCTTTCCCCGCCATCCACATAACACGATGGGACACTGGAGGGTGTCCGGTTTCCTACGAACAAGATGGCTGTGCGTGAGCGTTAAGCGTCCTCCCTTCATCTAGAGAGGGGAACACGCAACCTCTCCAGAAACAACATGCCCAAACCCCGGGGGGGCATTTTAGTCTGTGATCCTACGGAAGGTTTTCTCAAAGGCCGATCAGCAACTTCCTCACGTCCTAAATATCCTCGACATCCT